AAAAAAGTCTATGTGGGTGTTTGCAGTTCTAATCTTTGAGCTCTTCTATAAATTTTTGAAGTCTGAGATAAAAACAGAAGGGAAGAGTGAAAACGAGAGATCTCTGTGAATAGGGAGGTGCTGGAGACAGGCTGGGGACAGCCGGCTCTGGAAATGAGCCATCCAGCCAGGCAGGGGTGGGGACAGGTGGGAGGGAGGGTTTGGGCTAGGTGAGGAGGGGCAGCTGGACAGAGCCTGACTGGAGGACTGGAGGTTGTGGAGGTCCCCTGCTGCCCTGGGGTCCCCCCTCCTGCACTCAGAGGAACATCCAGACGGCTGGGCACAGCTGTGGTCTGTCTTCGCCACCCCAGGGAGACTGTGGAGGGTGGCACTGAGCGAGGACCCCCAGCAGGCGCTGAAGGAAGGGGCATACCTGAAGTTGTAGCTCCGTTCCTGCAGGTGGAAGGAGTAGTGGGGCCAGCAGTCGGAGCCCCCCACGTCCAGGTCACAGTCCCAGTGGACGCTGATGCCCACCGCGCCACCCTGCGCACAGCCAATGCGTGGGGCTGGGATTTCCTCTCCAAGCCCTTGGGAGGCCTGCTCCCCGCCCCCCGAGGACCCACCATCAATGCCAGGTCCTCAAAGGTCCCTCCGGCCTGAGCCACAAGGTCGCCAATGCAGAACACGGGGCAGTAGGGGCTGGAGTGGGGGTCATAGCGGCAGCTCTTGAAGTAGGTGGCGTTCCAGGTCTCCAAGGCGTTAGACCTGGGAGGGGTCAGGGATGGGGGTCAGACACGGCAGGGGTCAGGGAGGTGCTTTGGGCCAGCCGGGACCTGTCCGTGCTTACTTGGAGAAGTTGAACTTGCTGAAGGTGACGGTGTTTTTGATGAACAGGGTGAAGTTCTCAGCCTGGCCCAGCAGGGGTCTCCTGCAGGTGGAGGAGGAAGGGGAACTGGGCCAGGACTCTGCCAGTCCCGAGGCCCTGTGCCAGGGGTGGGGCGGGGAGAGGACTTACGTGGGCACGGTGCCACTCTCCACGGGGCACCAGCCCCAGATCTCGCAGGTCCTGTGGGTCCCATTGAAAACCACACACTGGCCGGTTTTAATGCCTTGAAAACACAAGTGAGCTCCAGCCCCCAAACCTCTGCAGGGTCCGGGGAGGGCATGGCGCAGGGGTGTTGGAATGCAGAGACACAGGGACCTGCACTGGGAGCCACCAGGTTCCCAACCCGGCCCCCCACCCTGGTGGGGACGGGAAGACAGGGCCCCAGTACCGTGGCTGAACGTCCCGGTCTCCCCTTCAGGGCAGTCCTCATCGGCCCAGCAGCTAGCCAGCGGGATGGCGGGGTTCTGGGATGGGAGGGAGACCAGAGTCACCAGCGGCCTGGAGGAGCGTTTCCTCTCAGTGACCTAGCCTGCAAGGCCAGCTCCCACCTGAGCCCCCAGGACACCCTGCGTTTGGAAGCACACAGGAAAGACAGAGGGTGCAAAATAAAGATGGTCCAGGCCATTGGCGCCCTGCTAAGACCTGTGCCCTGCAGGCTGGGACCACACGGGAGGCCCAGGTTCATTTTCCAGTCCAACCTAAAGGCCGGCAACTTGAGGCTGAGAGAGAGGATTTTTTTCTTAAGAATTATTTTATTTAATATTATTATTATTTCATTTGACCAGAGAGAGACAGAGGGAAAGTGAGAAAGCAAGTCACCAGGTACGGGACTCAAACTGTGGTCAGCTATATGGGAGCCCAGCGTCTTAACCACCACGCCACCTGCCAGCCCCAAGGCAGGAGGATCTCGTGTCTGGGGCTGAAATGAACAACAGCAAAACCCTAACAGGATGGAGAAACGGAAGAGATGGTAACAGCATGCACCCATGCTCCACTGGGTGGCGCAGAAGCGTCTCTGTCTCTGTCTCTACCTCTGTCTGTATCTGGCAAGCACACATGCCCTTGGGAAAAAAAAAAAAGTGCTCAGGCTGGCCCCATAGCACAATGGTTAAGCCCTATGCAGCGGAAGTCAGTTTTCACACGGCCAGCTAGGGTTCCAGTCCCAGCCCTGGTGGCTCACACATGGGGCACACTTGCACGCGCCCAGGGCCCTGATGGGATGGGGAATTAGAGGAAGAAGGACTGCCATGTGGCCTGCTCTGCTGGACCTCTTCCCCTGCCCCTGCCCCCCACCATGCGCATAACAAAAGAAAGATTCTGCCCTAGGGCCTCTGTGGGTGCCCCACCGCCATTACCATGCCATGGCTAGCCTTCCACCACCCAGACGCAGACCCGGCACCCTGTTGGGCTGTTGGTGCAGGCACCCCCTGGGGCACGAGGGATGAGTTTTGTGAGCTCAGCCCAAGGCCGAGCCCAGAGGGAAGCCAAAGGCTGTGACACTCCAAGGACAGCCCAATGCTGGGAGGGACTGTGACCAGGGTCCCAAGAGGTGCTGGCAGGGACTTGGGACTCCTCTCAGGAAGACAGGTTGTCAGAAGGGATGAACGGCCCAGCCCTGGAAGTCTCATGGAAGATTCAAAAGCCTGGATGTGGGAAAAGAGGAGTCATGGATTCCAGAAAATGAGGCCCCATGACCCCAGGGAAATTTCAGAGCAGCCTACAAACTGAGGGCTAAATAGATATGCGGGCATTCAGAAAAGGGAGGATATTTGGGAGCAGATGGGATAATGGCTATGTCACTGGACTCCCATGTAGTCGACCGCAGTTCGAGTCCCAGGCCCAGTGGCTTCAACTCATGTTGGGCACGTGTGTGTGCATGCCCAAGATCCCAAGAGAAGAATGGAAGAGAAGGGATTGCAGCATGGCCATCCCCCCTGGGGGGTGATTTCTCGCTTTCTGTCTCTCTGTCTCTGTCTTTCTGGCGAGCACATGTGCCCTATAGGAAAAACCTCTCCAAAAAAAGAAAGAAAGAAAGACGCCCAAGGAGCCTATGTGACCCCAAACTCAGCGTAAGTGGGAGTGTGCTGTGTTCACTCACTGTAGAGGAAGCTGCCTCAGAACACATGAACAGGGCATGGGCACAGAGGAGGGGAGGTGATCTTCCAGCACCGACCATCTGGAGCGCGCCCAGAGGTGAGAACAGGATGGGGAGGGACCTGGACACCTCCTGGGAACTGCTGTTTCTCAGAGATCCAGGCCCTGTCACCCACAGCCTGGGAGGCCATAGCCTCAGTCTTCTCATCTTAAATGGGGGTCATGTGCCAGGCAGGGTATATGTAAAAACGAAGGGACCAGCAGATGGCGTAATTGTTACTTCGCTGGACTCCATGCGACCATGGTTCGAGTCCCAGACCCGGTGGCTTAAAACTCATGCCAGGTGTGTGTGTGCCTGAGATCCTACGAGGAGAATGGAGGAGAAGGGATTGTGGTGTGGCCATCCCCCCTGGGGGGTGATTTCTCGCTTTCTGTCTCTCTGGCTCTGTCTGTCTGGCGAGCGCATGTGCCCTATAGCAAAATCTCTCTCTTAAAACAACTAATGAAATAATTTGCAGAAAGATGTAGCTCAGTGTCCGAGATACGCTCAGCCACCCGGGAGGACAAAGACAGACATCTGGTGGCCCAAGGCTGGTGGATCCTCTGGGAAGCTCCTGGGCACTTACCTCTGGGCACCTGCCCTGGACTTGGGTTGGCGTCACAAGGAAGTTGGTCACCAAGAAGAACACGTTCTCGCCCTAGGAGGCAAGTCTCAGGGTTGGCCTTGGCTTGGCTCTCTTGACTAGAGAGGCCAGAGCTGGCAGCCCGGATGTTGAGGGAAGCAGTTCTGGCCTCATCTGCTCCCACGGAGCCAGGCTGAAGCAGAGATGGGACTCCGGCTGGGCTTCCGGCCACCTCAGAGTCCAGGGAGTCTCATACATATTCACCACTTTGAGGCACACGCTCATTCGTTCCACCAGAAATTTCCAAGAGTCTCCCGCTCCCAGGCACTGCTAACCCAGAGGTGAGCTGGGCCAGGGCCCACCCAGAGAGTGGTCGCTCATCACATGCACAGCAGCACCGGCACACAGGAGCCAGGGGAGCAGATGGTAAGCTGGTCCAGGGCCAAAGGGTGGCCAAGGACATTCTGAGGGTGTCTGCACCCCAGTGCTGTACATGTGGAGTGCGCTTGCCCAGGAAGGGAAGGCGAGGGCTGGCAGAGGGCAGGGGGCGAGCAGCCATTAGGATATAGAAAGACTTTGTGGCTGCTGTCATGGGAGGAGAGCCTTCCAAGGGTGGAAAGCAGGGACTGGTGGGCTCCGATGATACGAAGAGTGAAAGCGCAGGGCCAGCAGGTGGCATGGTGGTTAAGGTGCTGGACTCCCACATGGTCGATCATGGTTTGCGTCCCAGACCTGGCAGCTTGCTTTCTCACTTTCCCCCTCTTTCTCTCTGGCCAAACAAAAACAAAACCAAAACTAATAATAAGACATAAAATAAGGGGGCCAGCAGGTGGCATGGTGATTAAGGTGCTGGACACTCTCACATGGTTGACCGCAGTTCGAGTCCTGGACCTGGTGGCTTGCTTTCCCAGTTTCTCTCTCTCTCTCTCCCTGGTCAAATTAAAATAAATGAATAATAATAATAATAACATAAAATAAGATAAAATAATTCTTAAAAAAAAAAAGTAAAAGTACATGTGCACCCCGAGGTACAGAGCAGGTGAGTTAAAGCACCCACCAGCCATGAAGAGACCACAGCCACACCCAGGCACAGCGCGAACTGTCGCTAAAAATGTTGGGAGGGACGTGAAGTGTCAGGACTGAGTCTGGGGTCACAGCCCTCATTGAATGAAGAGAGGCCATGCCGGGACAGGGGGACGTGGTGGAGTGTCTCCAGGACGCAGCTGCGCGTGGTACTGGTGGAACAGGGCGGAAATGGAGGCTGCGGGTGAGCTGAGTAGAGGGAGAAGGGAAATGTCGCCCACGAGGCAGAGGGTGAGACCCTCAGGTTATGGAAGGGGCTTCAGGAAGCTCCAGGCCCTGGCATGCACACCCCTCCAGCTGCATCTCAGACTCACGCATGCACACACCAGTAAACGGGAACATGTGTGTGCATGCGTGTACACGCACCCGTGCATACAATGTGCACATGCACACTGACACCCTTGCACATATTCACCGTCTCACACACATCTGCATGCACACACTCCCTCATACATGCACACTCACACACACACACGTGCACGCGCACACACGTAAGGTCTCATTGCTCATCTGAGCTTTAACTCCTGCTGTTGTTACTGAAATGCCCAGCTCCTCCCACCTGGCTGCAAAGCTCTGCTCAGGTGTTTTATATATTTTTTAACTTTATTTGTTTGTTTTTAATTGACCAGAAAAGGTGGGGAGAGAGAGAGAGAAAGCCACCACGTCCCGGACTTGAACCATGGTTGATCATGTGGGATGGCAGCACCCTTAACCACCATGCCACCTGCCAGCCCCTAGCTCAGATGTTTTATTCCCTCCCATCCTCGGCAGCCCAGGTGGCTGGTGCACTCTTTCATTGCACTTATTACCAGTGTTTTGGGGGTTTGGGTTTTGTTTTAGAGATTTTTGCTATAGGGTGCATGCACACACTGGAGAGAGACAAACGGCAAGAGGGAAAGTGAGAAATCACCCCCGGGGGGATGGCCACGCCACGATCCCCTCTCCATTCTCCTCTCGGGATCTTGGGCACACACGCACATGCACCTGGTATGAATTTAAGCCGCCGGGTCTGGATCTGGAACTGTGTTGGACTCCATGGGAGTCCAGCAACATAATCATTATGCCATCTGCTGGTCCCAATCATGGTGTTTTTTAAAAGATTGGATTGGGCCGGCAGGTGGTGTGGTGGTTAGCAGCATTGGACTCCCACGTGGCTGACCACAGTTCAAGTCCCAGACTCGGTGGCTTGCTTTCTCACTTTCTTTCTGTTTCTCTCCAGTCAAATTGGAAAAGAATGATAATTAAAATAAATGTATCATTCTTTTTTTTAAAATCCTCTTAAAAAAAAAAAGTTTGGATTATTTTATTTCTCCAATGAATGAGAGACAGAGTGAGAGACCGGCAGAGAGATGGCACCCCCTAACAAGGTCCTGTGTGATGACGCACCCCCTAACAAGGTCCTGTGTAATGACCCACCCCCAGCTTCAGCCAGCCCGGGCCCAGGATCACGGGCCTGCACGTGGCTGGTACATTCGGGGACATCGCCCAATACAGGCCCAGCCCCTCCCACATAGGTCAGCCTTGCAGACCGTCGGGTCCTACCACTGCATACTGTCTGGCCCCGCACGCCACGTTTTACAGTGTCTCCTAATCCTAGCACCTAGAAAGGGCCGCGAAAATCTTTCAGAAAATACTCTATCGTGTTAAAAAAGAAAAAAGGAAAGCAAGCGCATTGCACCATGGGTGAACAGTGCGATGACTCGGAGGACAGGACACACTGAATAAATACCGCTCTGCTTCACCAATTCATGACCAGAGCCTGGCCGACATGGAACAGGGACAGGCTCTGTGCAGGCTGAGGGCCCCGGGGGACGCAGGGTCTATGGGTCTGCGGACACTGCCAGGCACGAGGACCCGACCTCGCCCGGTCCTACCTTGAACCCCGTCGGGCACCAGTCCACAAACTGGATGGTGCGCTTGGTCTTGATGGTGGCGATGGCCGCGTTGACGTCCTTGGGGACCACGTCCCCCCGGTACAGCATGCAGCAGGCCATGTACTTGCCGTGGCGAGGGTCACACTTGACCATCTGGTTGGCCCGTTGGGGATCTCGGCCGCGGACAGCTGCTCGTGGTAGGCCTTCTCGGCCGAGATGACCGGGGCGTAGGTGGCCAGGGGGAAGTGGATGCGGGGGTAGGGCACCAGGTTGGTCTGGAACTCCGTCAGGTCCACGTTGAGGGCCCCGTCGAAGCGCAGGGAGGCAGTGATGGAGGACACGATCTGCCCGATGAGCCGGTTGAGGTTGGTGTAGGTGGGGCGCTCGATGTCCAGGTTGCGCCGACAGATGTCGGAGATGGCCTCGTTGTCCACCATGAAGGCGCAGTCGGAGTCCTCAGGGTGGTGTGGGTGGTCAGGATGGAGTTGTAGGGCTCCACCACGGCCGTGGACACCTGGGGGGCTGGGTAGATGGTGAACTCCAGCTTGGACTTCTTGCCATAGTCCACCGAGAGCCGCTGCATGAGCAGGGACGCGAACCCGGAGCCGGTGCCGCCCCCGAAGCTGGGGGAGGTGGGGGAG